CTTTGTACATTTAACCTGCCCTTAGCATGCAGGAAAAACTGAATTCTTTTTTATAATATGAAATGATAAGTGATGGTTTTTTTTTCTACAGGTTTTATTGCGTATTAAACTAGAAATAATACGTGTATCGTTTTTGTCGGTGTGACCAGAATTCCATTTAATACTATCACTAGTAATCAAATTCTCATCTTTGCTGCTGCGACGTTACCCCATTCTCGATGGGCCTTGATCGCAAGGAACGTACTGCTTACGTGACATAAATGTAAAAATAAAACACGTCCTCATCTAGTGAAATTTATTTTTAAAAATTTCCATCAGTCCCGTGAACATCGGAGTCTTTCCGAAGGAAATCGGTTATGCCGCCTTGTTTAAATTTTACGAATTCAAATTACACCTTTTCAAGGTTTTCGCCTTGGCAATGGAATTTAGATGAATTATTTTACTTAATTCCCCCTCCTTTCAACAAGGGGATGCTTTTAGTTTGATGAATCGGCTCTTTGATGGCGAAATATTGATTTAGCCGACACTGTTTCTGACACCTAATTATGACCCTTACAATTATGTACTCTATTAGTATTTTAATATTATTATTACTTAATCCTTACATGTATTTAGAAATTAGAAAATAGAAAAAAGTAATTGACCGTATTAATTATTTTAATTAAATTGTACTGTTAATCTAAGGTCTTGGTTAAGACGAAAAAAGCAAGATCTTAGATTAAAATTATTTTTATAATTGTGCAATGAAAGCAGTGTTCAATTAGGTTTTCTCCTTCATTATTTCTGACCTTAAACAACCTTCTTTACGGTTTTCTATACGCACAAATACACGCTTATATAATATAAAACATTTTCATTATACGGCGTCTTAGTTTCCCTCCCTGGTTGAAAAACGACTCAACCTAGAAAAAATAAATACGTTTATATTTAATTAAATAGTATGTAGAAATAATATTGCATTACATTTATTCCTACTTAATTAACTATTTAATTAATATTTGTTTCAGGTAATTTGCTTTTCCGTTCTTTAACTACACATAAGTCCAATACAGTTTCCTCCGTAATTTGTGTTCTTAATGCGGTTTTATGAGACTCTAATAGTAAAACCGACCTTTTATTAAGTAAACCATTTCGGACTAGTTAAAGCTCTGTTAAATCCAGGGCCGATACGAGGATTTACTAAGCCGGCTGTCGTCAATCCTGCGTTACACGGAATTAAACTCGAACTCCTAAAGCCCAGTACAGACCGAGGACCTTTGTTGGGCGTCACTTTGTAGGCCTTTTCAAAACTGTTGGGATGTAATCAATGCCCTGGGTATTCTCAGTTCTACTGCCTCTCGTAGGCAAAAGAAACATTATGGCGCAAAGCCGAAATGCGTTTGAATAACTTAAAAAAACAAAAAAAAAAAACAGGCGAGTGGAAACAGACCTAGTAAACCAACATTGTTTTGGTGAGAAGTGTCACGAGAGACGCCGACTATGGACTTCATGGGATGACCGATTTTTTAAATGATGCTAGGTCGAAAAAATGTCCAATTTTTCTTGCTAATGTGCTCTTTATATATATATNATTATATATATATATATATATATATATATAAAATCTAGCCTAAGAAAATAATACTCATTATCGAATTTCTCAGTCAAATAGGTTAAAAAGATTATTTTATAGATTTCAAATAAAATCAGCATAAGGAGACGGTAAAAAATGAAAACGAAGAGGTGGGCTAAACAGGATATGGAAGTGATAAACTGGGGATAAAGTGGAGGGGCATAAGAATACAGATGGTCCAGGGAGAACGCTGGAACAACAAAGGTTGTGAGGAAGATATAGAAAATAGGCATTTGAAAATTGAGCGTGAGGCATCATAAAAAAAACATAATTTGGCAAGTACGTTTCGTTTATTTTCAAGAACCGAATTTGTTCTAAAATGATCAAACGTGTAACGTTTTTGAAGGTAAACACCTTTCGAAATTTGTACTCTTTTATTTCGCCCCGTGTTGAATTTGCGCGTTTATGCGCCCCTTCAAAGGTTTCTATTTATAGGATCTTTAAAGAGCCAAATTACTTTATTTTTTTTTTAAATCGCCTTTACAGGAAAAGGTTAATTTGAAATTGTTGGTTTTAAAAGTTATCATCCCTTCTTATAACGCTGACCCGCCGAAATGACTTTTCCGACAGACAACGATCATCGTAGGCGGATAATGAAAAGTTGTGATATTTGGGCTCAAACTTTAAGAACTACAGAGCATTTATAAATAAAATCTTTCTTCCAAATTTCATCACTTTGATGGTTAAGACAACCTAGGATCTATCAAAAGATGAAAAACTTGGGTGAGTAAGAGCTCAGTCGACAAAATGTGAAATAAATGTACAAAGTGCTATGACGTTCTATAAAGCGCACATTCCAAAGAATCAGTTTTATCTTAAATCGTACGTAGTCTTAAAACTTAAAACTGCATGATTTAACATTGTATACTTTTTTTGAGTTAATGTAAAGCAAACTAATAGTGCAAATAAGTTAAGACGAGGAAAGGAAATACTTCTTCGAGATGTAGATAATCCCTTCTCTCCGGGTAGTAGAAACTTAAATAAACTCTGTATTCGGTTGTATTTGTTGAATCATTCTTGACCATCTAAATATATATATTTAAAGTCAATACCGGCATAAAGAAGCCTCTTGTTTTTGAGAGGTCAATTAGAACGTTTGTCAAGAAGTCATGCAAGAGCTCTCCATCGTGTCATAACCTTCTGACGTTTCAGTCGTGTGTGAGGACTCCACTTCAGGCGTTTGTCGATGTCCGAGGTACCCACCTTGTTCGCGGTTGGGAGGGGAATATTATTTAAGAAAAACGGGGGGGGGAGATCTTTTTACAGAGAGTGAAGGTAATGTGAGTGGATTTGTCTGTGTTAATGTTACCCTTTTCTTTTTACACCAAGACTAGTAGTATGAGGTGTTGGAGGTTTCGAGTGGAAATGACAAGGTCGGAGTTGCTAGAGAGAATTGCTGTATCGCCTGCAAATGTGAATGTGGTGGCTTCGGGATCTGATGACATGTCAGCTGTGAACACCTGGTATATTGTGGGGGCCAGAACGCTACCCCAAGGAACACCATAATGGATAGGGAAGTATGCAGAGACGGAATGGCCTTCGATGCTTGGAAGGTCAGTGAGGTAACCGTGCATTATGAGATAGTAGGTGGATGAATGGATGCCTTTGAGCGTGAACAGCAGGCCCAGGTGCCAAACTCGATCAAAAGCTTGACTTACATCAAGAAAGGCCCGAGAACAGTACTGTCCCATCTGAAGAAAAGAGGAAAAATGTCTACCACGCGGTGACACTGTTGGACAGTTGAGTGACGGTTACGAAAACCAAAATGATTATGTTTAGATTATGTTTTGACAATTTAGAATCGGAAGAATTCTTTTCGATAGGAGTTTTTCTAAAATTTTACCCCAAGTGAGTATTAGAATTAGACTTAGTTAAATATATAAAATTAAAATTTATATTTAATTCGAATCGACCTGTACTACTCTGTTGAATATTGGCCTCGAGTTGAACCAGCCGTTTGGACCTGGCAGCGGAAACTAATCGTAGCGAGTTAGTTGCTTATGAAATTTGCCTTCTTTAACGTTCGAATAAATAGGTTTGAACTGGTCTCATTATAATTTTAAGTCCATTATATTTAGTGGTCTGATTGACCAAATTACTTCTGTTAATTAATTAATCTTTTTATGCAAGATTTTGGTTGAAATGAGAGCAGCGGCGAATTATGCCGAAGGTCATGGGTTCGAAATGAATAGCAGTGCCACGAGCGGGATTCGAACCCACGACCTTCGGTTCAATACGCCGCTGCTCTCATTTCAGTCAAAACCTTACATAAAAAGATTAATTAATTAACAGATATAATTTTAAGGTTGATGTATTGTTTTATTAATAATTCACAATATTTTCTATAATCTTTCAGTTGTATAACCGATATGACTAAACTTTTTCATCGTATATCCAGCAGTGTTGACTTTATGTGTGCACAGCGAATCATAAAATGTGATGTTGATGCGGGGTCATGGTGAAAAGAAAATTTCTAAAGCTATTGTTCTGTCGGAAGTATTGTTTTCCTTAAGGAATAAAAGTGAAGGGAAAAATAAAGGAAAAAGAACAAGAGGGCGTGCCGTTTTTCCAAACGCATTTGTTTTGATTCACCGACCTTTCCTAAACAAATATGCCATTTATAACTTCAGTATCAAAATTATACAAGTCACAAATAACATTTGCAACACGATACGATGTCGATATTTATTTAAAATAGAACCGTTCACAAAAATAAACTTTAACATAAATCGATTAAATTTAGGGAGAGACAAACCGTCTTTTTGTCGTGCAAACAGAACACTGATGAGTCGGTATCAATCAACCCTGACTTCATTTCAAAGGGTGATATCGAACGAAGTGTAATTTTCACTGAATTTCTGCTTTAAAAAAAGAAGAAGAAAAGCAACATTTGCTTGAATGACTTCATTTAGATTAGTGGCTGAAAATTGGTAATTTTGTTTGGAGGTCAAACTGGAGTGAGCTTCAATAAAACCCTAATTGATTCTTTTGCCTAATTACAATCAATATTTTAACAAATGACAACTCACGCCGACATTGAATTGTACAAAATGCCATTGATATTTTTAAAAATAAATAATAAAACACTAATTATGTTATTTTATATAATTGTTAATTAATTAAGCTTTAATTAAGTTTTGGTTGAGATAAAAAACTCAGTGTCACGGGCGGGATTCGAACCCACGAACTTCGGCTAAATACGTCGCTGCTCTACCACTTGAGCTATCGTGATTTCGATCCACTCGGACACTAACTTCCCATCGCAACCCCACCTTTTGAATATTCCCACCTATTGAATGTTGATGGCCCAGATTCAAGTTTCGTATTTGTAGAAGTATTTACTGTTGAGTTAAAACATGCAGAGATTTAAATTTAAAATAAATCATACTTCGCTCAGGTAGACCCACACCCGCATCACGTAGGAGGGCAAGTTTAAACATATGAAAACTGTTGAGACGACTAGGAGCATTTCTGTCACTTTGGTCTGGGACGATGAAGTCCTTGACTTGTGGCTTCCTCCTCCTCCGGAGGACTTAGTCATAGAGCGCCTCACCCTGGCGACTTTGTACACCGTCCTGGATATGAGCGCGTTGAGGATGACGATCGCAAGAAAGGGTATGAGCAGGGTGAAGACCACATCCACGTGATTGAGAGTGGTCGCTATGCCCATCAGCTCCCTCCTTGGACCGCACGTCTCGATGTCTGAGCCGCTGTAACAAAAAGATAATTTAATATATATAAATTTGGGATGAAATAGATAAACGCTCCAGTAAACTTAAAAAAATGTAAATCCTGTATAATTACGTCTACTTTGGCTAAAGAAATGCTCCCAGCTTTAAAGTTAATCTTATTCTTTTACATCCCATATTATTCGCCTTTTACTTCTTTTGTAGATCCATTGTAAAGGTAGATTATTTGATTAATTTTACTTAAATTACTCAGCCCGTAAATTACTTAATGACCCAGAAATAATAGTTTCACCGTATTTTTCTTTACATGGCTGTTGATCTTTTCGGAAGTCTTAATACTTGATACAATAGCGGTTGAAATAGTGATGAACTGTCATTAACGATAATCACGAAATCCAGTAATTAATTTTCGCTATGATTGCGACTTCATTTTAAACATATAAAATCGAACAGAACGCTGTAACTGTTTCAAACCATAATTCATTTTACATTTATAACTTGACAATGAAAAAACTACCATAGTCATTTCTAGTGGTAACTTTATATAACAAGGTAAAGGATTTTTTGGTTAATACCACTTACAAAATTAAATCATATAGAATTTTCTGAATTCGAGTTATCATTCCATATCGTCCCCCTCGGACTTTTGGGCTATGAATATTTCATTCATACAATCATGACGTTGGCCTATGTGTGTAACTTTGTCAACAAAGAAGGGGATAACTACCACCTTTCACATTTTCTCTCTCACATACTTAACAATATTCTCTCTCTCTCTCTCTCTCTCTCTCTCTCTCTCTCTCTCTCTCTCTCTCTGTCTATCTATCTACCTCTTTCTCTCTCTCTCTATCTACCTCTTTCTCTCTCTCTCTCTCTCTCTCTCTCTCTCTCTCTCTCCCCTCCCCCTCTCTATTTGCATTCTGCTAATCTAAGAAGTTTATTATTTAAATGGCCTGCAAAAAAGCTTATAAATTGGAAAGAACACTTATTTACCTTAGGCGTTTAGATTGCTTGAATCTTTCGAATCCGGTTGGAAGAATTAAACAAACGTTCTAATATTACTCTACTATTTAGATTTTGTTCAAATGATGAATTTAGAACGGGAACTTTCCACCAATAAGTAGTCAGCAGACAGAAACTAACTTTCGATTTCTTTCGTATTTTTGGCAGGTAAGACATACTCAGGAAATTTGGGAATAGGTGGTTTTCAACATCCGCGGTCCGCTATTTTATGAACACTCCCAGAATTATAGAATAATTTTAATTTTCGTTCCATTTTCTCTCGAGGTAACCTGTATAAACATATTACATTTTGAGAAATTGAGATAAGTTCTGAACAGTACGCGTCAATGACACCTCTAAAGAACGAACATTCAATCCGAAATAATGCATGATTTACATTTACTCCATTTCAAGTGACGGAGTCGTTTATTATTGTAAAAGGCTCGGAAGAGACCTGACAATTTCACAAACAGATGGTTCTTGAAATAACCAACGCCTTTCCCACGTGTCATATTTTACAGGAAGAAACGTGCCAAAGGATAGGAGGCATTCTGTCTGGAAATTCTTTTTATATTTTATCCATCGAGTAAAACAACGGAAAAAAGGCATTACAGAGCTCACTTCAACTAGAAAAATACTGTCTCGACAATAATTCACAGGAACAATAAAAACAAAGAAGCATATGTATGGGGAAGAAAGCAATGATATTAAACTTAGATGAAGCTAAAGTTTTTTTAACTCTAATAAAATATAATAAACACATTGAAAATTTGAAAAGCAGACGTTTCAGCCTTACTGGAAAATATTACTTTTGTTGCGACCCCATATTATACTTGTCTGTATATGACAGCGGACAAGTTTTCTGAAAGCCATAACGACCGACGAAGGGTGAAGCTTATCTGCAAAGCGATACAACACCGTCCCTTTCGATCTGTTGGAATTCCGTTCGAAAAGCTATGGAAAAATAAAGAGAAACCTTCATTTTCGCCCTGACAGTGATGGATGACACTCAATTATCCCCTTTATCATAACGACGGCTTTAATCCTCCAAAGTGCAAATCAAGTTGGCAATTGCAACGGAAGTTTAGGCGTAGGAAAAGTCACCTAAGTGGCGTTAATTGGGAAACGAGTCCCAATAAAGATAAAAAAAAGACAATGAGAGGTGGAGTGAGTGAAACGAATTCTCGGCGTTTCTGATTGGTTTTCTAATTTGGAATGCCGGTGACTGGAGATTAAAGGCAAACCGAAAACAATAACATGTAAGACAAAGAGGTGATTATTGTTCGAAAAAGTCAAGGCATTTCACATTGTTCGTAATTTAAGTTTGATAATTTTTTATCAAATAAAGCTGTTAGTTTTTGTCATGGGGGGGTGCGATTCTGTTTGCTAAAGAGAAATTTCCGCGTTGCTAACGGCAATAAAATAACGGTTGTTGAAGGAAAACCTAATTTGTTCAGAGTAGGAAATAGGTCGATTTTCAGAATTAGTCAACTGCGCACAAAACATTTCGAGACTTTAATGGGATTTGAGAGAAACGTAGGGATAGGAAATATTTCCCCCAAACAAGCACATTTTTGTAACGTGCAATTAACAGCCGGTTGGATATGTCCAAGGGTAAGATTTTCTCCGGGATTCTAGCTCGTCGGCTGGTTATTAGAGGTTCCGGGAAATGATACAGGAACGTTCGACGAGGTGGGAAATGGGGCCACATGTCAAAACGAAAATCTGCCGTTCCACGCCCTCAGCAGTGTCGATCCGCAAATCACGTTGAAACGAGTCTTCCCAACCGAAAAATATGAAGAGTGGCATGTTTTATGTTAGAATATTTTCTTCCAAGGCGGTTAACTGTGTTTGGGAGAATTGGAAAAAAAGAAAATTCAGTGAATCGTAAGGAGAGAACTCCAAAACGACGAAACTCCAATTTATGTTTTTCTTGTTCCTTTGCACAAGCATATGTCTGTAGAAGATTTTTAGTTATATTTACATATAAAAAGACAGATAACTGTAAATATTTAGAAAATAAAAAATATATATTGATTCAAATAAATTATAACAAGAGAATAAAATACACTTACGTAAATATATAGCTAAAAAGATTCTATATGAAAATATAGGTGGGCATATAAAGAGAAAATAAACAGAAGTTTTTACATAATGGTCAGATAGACAGAAAAAGTGAATGTGTGTGTGTGTGTGTGTGGGTGAAAAAAGAATAAGAGGTAGGAAGAAAAAGAGGGAGGAAATAAAGGCACAAGATAAATAAAGAACAAGCGAGACAGAGTGAGAGTGAGTGAGTGAGAGGGAGTGTGAGGGATGGAGTGATGGGGGAGAGGGAGGGAGGGTGAAAGAGAGAGGGGAGGGAGAGAGAGAGAAAGAGAGAGGGAGAGAGATTAAAAAAAGAGAGAAAGACTTGTTTCTTCATAAACTCCCTTCTCGTTTAGTTCCTATATCAACTTTGACCATTATGTTCAATGTATGTGTTTTCTTTTTTCCTGTTCTGACAGTATCACTTCGCACTACCTTAAACGCGGTCGGCCCTGAAAGCCGTACACGGTTCGATTCAGAGGTACGACGATACAATTTTGAGAATGGTTCGGCCAGATTATCCTCTCAGGATTATGTAGAAAGGGATAAATAGGAAAAGGAAAGCTAAATTGTTGGACTCAAAGACATAAAACAGAAAAATCTCACTGGCACTCTCAACACGACACGCAAGAATGGCACAATTACACAGAAGACAAACACTTTGAGTGAGTAGAAATACTTTGATTGAATATACAAAATATATTTTGCATTGTATAAATTCACTTTTCCACATCCTATATGTATTTGTTAAATGTAAACAATGTTTGTAAATCCCAGGCCCTGAAGATGATCTAAATAAAGATGGATACGTTGGCACGATAAAGAAAATGTTTTTCTGAAACCTACATCACACCAGACCGCATCTCGCAATTTCTGAATAATTATCGATTAACGGTCACTAATCACCACACATTTATACCCAGACTTTGTGGCCTTAGAAACCTCGGCTTCTATATTTAGTGCGGCAATCCGTTTTCCGTTCAATGTTGACGGATGTCAAACTCGTATAGCGTTTAAAATGGGCTGTCCTCTCCTGGGGTATATAGATTGTTCGAGATGAAATAAAACTGCCGGCCTTAAACTCGAGATTGGATCTAGGTAAGTTTGATGAGGTGGTCGGCGAGAGGATTGATTAGCTTGTTATGAAGTCATTATCATTTCTAGCCGATTATAGCTTACTTAGTTGTTAGTAACGACAAATTTGCCGTTCTAAGCCATCTTTAGCCTACAACTAATTGTAAGTGTAAATCTGGTACACAGCTGGTACTTACATTATAAACAAAGCCAGAGGGAACACCGATTTACAAATGTCTTGAAATCCACTGTCCAATGCTTCCATCCTCTCGAGGTAATTCCGCACTTCAACGATGGAAAATAAAATGAAAACATCCAGGGATTAACCTGATGAATCCACCATATTCTATGCTTGCCTTGCCATTTTCTTATATATTTATAAATATTGTTTTAACGAAGAAAATGCCTCTTCATTGGTTTTTCTTTTATCATTAATCGTAACTCAATGAAAATTTATTTTAATTAATTTAAGTAATAATAAATTGATTGGTTTCAGTATTCATTATGTGATTAGAAAGCCAGAAAGACTCAACTGTCATGCGGGTTTAGCATTCGTAAACTGGAAATTGTAAATTAAACAATTCGACTTGACATGACTTTTATTGTTGTAAAACTCAATTGTGTCTTGTTGCCTTAATTATTAGCGACGTTTTAGTTACAAACAAATCCCTCGGTTATTTTACATGTAGCGTATAATTATCCATGAGAAAAAAGTGGATTTTCCAAATTCAATCCACGTAATTACATTAATTGACCTCGTGATTTGTTTATTGTTGTGACAAAAGCTAATTTAATTGGAAATGTGTAGAGATTAGTGACCGTTAATCGATAGTTATTCAGATATCGTGAGATGCGGTCGGGTGTGATGTAGGTTTCAGAAAAACATTTTCTTTATCGTGCCAACGTTTTGATCTTTNTCTTGGTACCAATCTGTGATTAATGTGCCATCTGGTTGTTTTATTACAAGTATATCTAAAACTGGTATTGTTTTGTTGTTTTCGATTTCATGTGCAAATTGGAGGCGTGGGTGAAAGCTGTTAAATGTATCTAATGTGGAAACTGCATCGTTTGAATTGGAAAGGCATATATGTTCGTACTTTTCGTTATGGTGTTTCTTCTTTGTTTCAGTTTGTCTTTGTTCTCATTTTCCCTTTGCGGCATTTCGTCGACGACCATTATTTTATCGTTTTGGAGGCGTTTTAAACAAGTGAAAACAACAACAGCAATTCTGGAGCGTTGGCTGCCGCAACGGCTTAGGCGTAGACCGGACCGCATTGCTGTTAAAGGTCCCAGGTTCGAACACAGCGGCCCTGCATTCGAACCCGACATATATAGAAGATTGATTACCGTACTTGATGGTTTATAAAGAAAAATTGATATAATATCATTTCACAATATACTGAAAACCGAGTTGAATCGTCACATTTATACAGGGTTGGATGAACACATTTAACGTGTATAACTTGAAATTACAATGGCCCAGTACAAAGTTAGAACGATCATATTCGGGATCCTATCACGTTAGGGCTCAACTTGGTGAAACGGATCGTTTTTTCTGTTCGCAAAACGTATTTCTTTGGAACGCCCATTCACGGGACTTCGTCAAGTTCGGCCCGTACGAAAGGAAGCCGGGTTTTTTCCGCAAAATTTCAAAAAAGGGAATTTCATTCTCGGTTAAAAAGTAGTAACAATAATTGTGTGAAAAGATCATTCGCCTGAACCAGAGCGATCTTAATGAATCTTTGTCCCATTCAAACATTGAATGGAAGTTTAGAGTCCTTTTTCCACACAATGAAAAGTTTCCCACAAATTATATGTTAATTTTCTTTTTCTTTTTTTCTTCATCGGTTTTATAATCAAGCCCTGTCAATTAAATTTTAAATTTTACTTTTAAATCTTTTTATTTATTTTTCTAAAACGGTTACGATTGTGCTCTGCACGTCCAATGATTGAGCCTTCAATATACTGTTGTAATCGACCGGCTCAATCTTTTTTTTAAATCTACTTCCTGAAATATCTTCCCGTTGCTGAGTATACTTTGGACATGTATGATGTGTTCCAAAGTTTCCTCATCGCCACATTCATATCACTCGTTCTCCTCCAAATTAAATTAATTCTTCAGATATGCTTTAGATATTCCGTGGTTAGATTTTAACCTACTGGCTAACCTGTACGTTTTTAACTCTTTTCTATCTCATCGTACCATCGATGCCATCCTTTAAAATTCCGTTTTTTGCTACACAGTACAAATCCGAATATGGGAACCTAAACTTCCTCCTCTTGAGAACCTTCTAAGCAGGTCCTTGTTACTTAAGATATGCAGTGCGTCAGAATCCTCGTGAACTCAACTTATATGTAATTATCTTGAATAATTTTTTAATAATGTTTTAATTTCCCAGATAATGTGATTTCTTGACACAGTTTTGACTCTGTATAATCTAGTAGGTAGCTTACGCTTTTCCTATGGCGACTGGCAAGTGCAAACCGATGCCTCAACCGAAATCTTAAATGTTAGACCGGATTTGTGGGTCATAATAGTCACATCCCGTACTATCCTAGATCTTAAACTATCGTACGGCCAGTATGCATTGGAAAGTATCCTGCCACTTCCGCTCTCAATCCCGATTGCCTGCAAACGGATCTATGACCCTCTTTATTGTTGAGTGAGCAATAGTCATCCGAACTTTACCATCTCTCCTATTCTTAAACCACGGAAGACCGTTGCACATACCATATACGCAGATGTATATAGCGAATATTAAATAATCGTTCTGGGATTAGTTTATTTGTTTAGTTAGTTAAAATGGATAGGCCCAGGTGATTGAAAACCACGGCTTAGAAACCGCGAAACATCTCAAAGTACTGTTATATATATAATGAACAAACCGTGTAGGCAACGAAAAAGAAACGAATTGTGCTTTCTTGAACTTTACCCAGCTTGTACATTCTTTATTTCGTGTTGGAAAGACTTTTTGACCTACTCTGAGCTCGCTTCAACCAATATGAAAGTCCTTCCTTCATTCTTTTCTTCTAGAGAAAATATAAAATTGCCTTGGTTGATGGGGAGCTCAGAGAATCTCGAAAAGACCTTCCCAACTAGAGGAGAAGCATAGAATGTAAAAAAGTTGTGAAGTGCAATAAAGCACGAAAACCAATTACATTGAACAGCCGAAATAGGAGAAAGCAAGGAGAAAGGTTTCTACCAACACATGAAAAGAAAATTAAAAAAATGAAGTGTTAGTTCAGCATAAATAAATTCTAAGTAAAACAAACAGCCAAGGTAAAAGGATAAAAAATTTACCAAATTAGCCAAGCCAGGAGCTTAGAGCTTCTCGTAATAAAAGGCCTTTCCAGCCATACGTGAAATAAAGATTGTAAAAGATAAAGCCCTGGGAAGTTCAATGTAGCAAAAACCTTAATTCAAATAAATACCCAAAATAGAAGAAAACAGAGGAAGGATTAAAAAAAAGTCAAATTGAGAAGGTGTTTACAGAAGCTCGAAAGAGCTTTCCAAACAAACGTGACACGTAGAATTGAAAAAAAAAGAAAGGATTTTACCCAATTGGCTTATGGGGTCGAATAGGTCCTCTCAACAAACATGGATTAAAAAATCTAAAAAGAAATAAATGCTCTGGTAAGTACTATAATGCATCAATTCAAAATAAAATAAACAACCTTTTGAAGAAAACAGAGAAAGCATTAAAATTCCAAATTGGCTAAGGGGGAGCCGAAATAGGCCTTCCCAGTCAAATGTAAAATGATAACTATATAAAAAGCCGTGTGAGTAAAATAAAAATAATAAATAAAACAAACAGCCCAAATAAAAGAAAACAAGAGGAAAAGATTACTCTTAACAGCTCGTAAAGAATGGCCGTCCTAACCAAATATGAAATAAAGATTGTAAAAAATAAGGCGCTTTGAAGCCCAATAAAGCACAAATCTCAAATAAAATAAACAGCCAAAATTTAAGAAAACAGAGAGGAAACTAGCCAAATTGCAGGAGCAAGAGAGACGCCGTTCCCAGTATGAAATAAAGAACGTGATAAACGTTGTGAAGGTAGCACATATTCCAAATAAATAAAATTTAGCAGCCAAAAAAGATGAAACAATAAAAAAAGTTTACAACATTTTGTCGAATCCGTCGTATCATAGGTAAATTCTATAGATCAGCATCAATCAGCGTCATACGTTTCTACTAAATAATAATAATTTCCGATGTATTGCATTAGACCATTGGTCACCAAATACGTTTTTCCCTACTTGATTACTACTCTTGTGTAGGAATATATTCAAATCACGATAGCTAAGATATAGACCATCTCACTGGGATGAACGTTTTTAACGTTTACGATTTATTATGTATAAATGAAATATTATCTTTTATATTCATATTTCAAGCCCATTACATAGATTTATATTTTTTATTTATTATTTGAATTTATACTTAGTTCATAAACATCTATAAATTATTTAACAAAAACTTGTTAAACTCATATATTTGACATGTGACGTATATGCATACATCAACCTATAAGATATTAGCTTGTATTTGATTTTCCTTACCTCAAGCATCGCATCCACCGCTTACATAAAATTCCTAGTTTAACTTACAAAGAAAAAATTGAATTGTTAAATTGAATACCTACTTTTGTTTTGACACACCAGAGATGAAAATGTACGGTGTGTATGATATCAAAGCGAAGAGTGAGAGGCATAGGAGGACGGCCTTCGCCCTCGAAACAGTGCACATGCTTGGCCTTTTCAAAGGGTACCGGACAGCTATGAACCTCTCCACTGTGAACGCTACTATGAACCAAACGCTGAGGAAACTACAGACCTGAAACAAGTACAAACTAGTTATACACTACTGGGATTTTAATTTTTTTTTAACCCTCTGTACCTTGAATAATTTTATTTAATTGGCGTAACTGTTACAAAGTAACGGTCTCTTATTTACCACGTTAGCGGTTCTGGATTCGCATCCTGGTATTCTCTCTTTTTGATGCAAAATAATGGAAAAAAGGTATTTTAAAATTGTTTGACCTGTCGCCCGTGATGTTAAGTTCTACCATATGACGGTGATTATTTTACTTTTTTTTTTTTACTAAAGTACAAGCAGTCAGAAACGGGGTTTGGGGAGTTTCAGGTAATACCGTCCTGTTTTTTCTTTTTTCGTCAGTCGGAAAATATCGATCTGGGCCTCATTTTAAAAGTTTTAGCGAGGAAAAGTTCTCCTGTTCAGATCTCAGGTTCTATTTGTTTTTGGTAAATAACACGTGGGCACGAAGAAGTCACAACCCTATTTGGAGTAGGGGTGAAAAACAAAAACCGTGATTTTCACGTATTTTCAACACTTTAGAGGTTGGCGATGTGATGTTTCTCTCCTTTCAGCTAGTCACGAAAATCGTTATTATAATGGCAAACGTTGAACCTTTTCTTCCAAGAGTTTTATATATAGTTGAGTTATTAAGAACGGGGGGGGGGTTCAGGTTATTTAATTTATACAGCTTTTATTCAAAAGCGTACATGATCAAAGTCGGGCTGGAAAGATACTGAGAAAAACGAACTTTGATAAGTACAGGATGTCAACGGTTGAATGAACTGATTGGACAGGATTGAGGAGGGATCAAACTTAATCTCCTTGTCCTGTTTAAATATTAAGGAAGATAATTTATACAGACCAAATCTACAATTGTGAATCGAATGAAATTCTACTGATTTGAGTGCTCAAATTAACGCAATTTCCTCCAATTCCCCTGGCGCCAAAATAATTGTTTTAACCAGACTGTTTTCTATTTTCAATATCTAAGCTAAGCAAATAATTCGACATTTTATAAGCAAAGTCCTCAAATTTTTAGGTAAGTTGTTTTGGAAGGCTTTTTCCAACCAATTTTGAAAGATAAAGCACAGTGAAATCCAATAAAGCACGTATCCATAATAAAATAAACAATCAAAATTGATGAAGTCATTTAAAAACCAAATTGCCTGAGTAGGGTCAGAGAAACTCGAAAAGGTTTCCCCAACCAAACGTGAAAAATGAAATGTAAAAAAAAGCGTTGTGAAGTTCAATAGACCAAAAAATAAAATAAACCTCCAAGATAGAAGAAACCAAGGAGAAAGCATCGTCCAAATTGGCTTAGAAGGCCTTCCCAATCAAATCGTAAAATAAATTTTTGTGAAGTGCAATAAAGCATGAAGAATTCCAAAAAAATAAACTGTCAAAATGAAAGAAAAGAGAAAGTATTAAAAAAACTACCATATTAACTCAGGTAGAGCACACAGAAGCTCGAAAAGGTTTTTCAAATCAAGCCTGAAATGTACAACGTGAAAAAAAGTTGTTATGAAGCACGAATCCAATTCCAAATAAAACAAAATAGAAGAAAACAATAAGAAAGGATTCAACAAACTTAGCTGAGGGGGTACTCAAAGCCAAGACCTCAATTTTATCGTTAACGAATATTGATAGGTGCATACACCAATTTAATATTTTCTAAAAATGGGATAAACCAATTGAAAGGAATGGATTTGTGTGTATCAAATTGAGCAGTCTGAAAATTTTTCGAATATTGGTTTCCAGCAATGACAAAGCTGTCTACCTAAATTTTATAGCCCCCTCTTCCGGAGGTATTTAAACGACGAGGTGTTTGTGAAAAAATTTTGACTATTGAATTATAGTTAATGATCTGTTCTGATTTGATCCTTAACGATCATCTTGGTCTGCCTCTCTGACAGACCTGAAAAGACATGCTAAAGATGGCGAAATGCCGAGAATCATCTGGCAGATCCACCCAGCGATGATAGGTAATTTTTTATTTGTTTTTCTTCTTTAAAAAATGATAGGTTGAATTTAAAAAATTTCACAAAATGTTTTTAATTGGAACCGAAAACAATGTTTATGGATTAAGAAAATGTTAAGGCAGAGAAATAACCACCGTTCCTATTATTTTCCGTTCAGTTCACTTGACGATTGTGCCTCCTCTCGGAGCCCCGTTAAACAATGGTTTTGTGGAAATTATTAACAATTGAAAATTAAAGTGCTACAAGGGAAAGTTTCAAAAGGGTAAGAGGAAAAATTGTACTTTTAAATTATGTTGTATTAGGGAGAGTTTTTTCCCATACTGCAGGTAACATTTTTCAAAATTAAGGATAGCGGTTTTTATTAAGGCTCGAATTCTATGTCTGATGTATTTGCCAGTGATTTCTATAGAGAGCCTATGGGTTTGACATTGCATTCAAACGACTGTTTGAGGCTCTTATCGGGACCAGACAAGTTTTAAATATTCGGCTCATAAATTGAAGCGTTTTTTCTCCTCTCCTCTTTCGGCTTTTGAACAATTTTTATAAAATTGACAAGCAATCGAAAATGCGTCATATCAAGTTAAGTGCCCTTGTTTTGATCTTGATACATTTCTAAAAAAGTAAAATTCAATTCTAAGTGTGCTTAAACCGTATATGATTCAGAGGGACCATTTAATTTTCCTGCGTTTGTAAGATATTTAGGCTTTTTGGGAAAAATTTGGGAAACTAGAAAGTTCAACCACCCCTTTCATTTATCGCTATTTTTTCTACACTTTTATATTTATCGTCGAGTATTGTCCGAAATAGGATACGGACCATTAACCTGGTTCTTTATATTTAGACCTCGCCCATTAATTGTCACAGAAACCCTAGTGAGGCGACCTGTGGGATTGAGTGGAAAGGGCTTTAATGTTACTCGTCTTATTAATGGAAGGAGCTCAATTGAATCTGCTTCGGCGGAACGACCATTTATCCATGCAGCGATCTCTTGACAAATTGATTTTGCCAGATTTCAACGAGGGTGGAAAAACAGCTCTATTTACAACCCTTCATTCTCCATTGTTTATAATTGGCCTTGTGTATAATGGAATTTAGAATATATATATATATACTTAATATATTAACTTAACTTAATATATTTAGTAAGGGGTGCTTTGCACAAGGATCAATGACATGCTATACAGCAATTTTGCAGAATTGAAACGTCAGTTGCACATTGGTTAATGCACGAACATGATCACTTTCAAAACGCCCAAGAAATAAATCTGATATAACAACTTCGAAAAGATATAATATTAGATAATTCATGGACGCAATGATTTCTCGGCATAGAAGACAGGAGAGTTAATGTTAAATCATTTTACACGGTTACCTACCACGAAATAACAAACTGGGCATTGGAGGAAATGAGGGTCCAGTGTCAAGTAATTAGTATTTTTGGGAGAGACCATGGCATTTCAGTTCTGCGCAAAAGTTATTAAAATGCTGGTTATATACAAACAGCCATCTTCTGTGATAACCCTGCAGCGCTCAAAGCACTGGCCTCAACTGAAGTAAGATCACGACCAGAAGGAAACTACGAGAATGCAATGGGAAAATGGGGAGGAAGAGAGTTTTTTAGCACAGCCAAACTCTCGACCCCTTTTACCTTTCCTCAAACCCACTTGGCCTTGCTTCACTTACTCCCTCGCATTTTCTTATTGGAAGAATTAATTACAAGATTACCAGAAAAAGCCTTGCTAAAAACGCACTGGTCCAGGCTAACTTACTTCCATAGAATGCGGAAAATTAGATTGCGCTTTTAGTCTACTTGGTGCAGGGAGCCTCATAGTTGCAAATTTAGTTTAAGTGGCATAACAACACTGACTCCAGGAATTTTCGTATTGGTTAAAGAGTTAAAACCATTCAGTTGGCCGTTAGGCCGAAAAACCGTAAATAATAATTATATAATATAATTATATAATAATTATTTTAATAGTAAATAGAAAACCTGAAGGCGTTGCAAGCGTGACATGAACAGGTGAGGTATGAACAGCGGGAGGAACCAAATGAGTACTTTCAAAAAATTTTCCTCCTGCAAAAAGAATTTGAAGAAGAACAGATTTGAAGAAGAAAATCCTGGCAACTCATGTTGGTAGCTATCAGGACCAAAACCCGTTTGTAAAAATAAACATACTCTCTTTGAACATCATCTAGGGTCATTTGCGAATGAGTTCGATAATAGTTGGCATATTCTAATGGTTCCTAGGCGTAGGAGTAGCATAGGAGACAGAAGAGTTAATGCTAGTTTTATTTGGTAGACGGCAACCAACCACTAAGTACCACATTGGACACTCGAGGGGGTGAGATCACGGAAAACCACGGAACCACTAGAGAGCTCTAACTGGTAAAAAAACAAGCAGAGCTCTTCAACAGCACCATTAGGTCCATTATCCTTCTGCACAATTTTGTAATAGTAAACGTACCATGTTTAAATATCTTCATCTAGAGTGTAGCAAAGTCAGTATTAAATAGGTTGATGGAAGGACAGGCTCCATGAGAGCTAAGGGAAACAGGAGGACATGATCATGGATTCCTAGCCATACTATGCACAGAAAATATAGTTCCAGGAAAATCATGGAAGACTGCATTACTAGTTCATAATGACTCTATTTTGTACACAGTCACCAACGACCAAACCCCAAACAGGGCACCAGGAAATCAAAGGCTAGCATCAAATGTCAGTATTTCTGGTAGAAACCATGGCAATTGACCTAGCGCTCCAGGGTTTCAATGCTAAGTATAGAAGACATACAAATAGTCATCTTCTGTGATAACCCCGATGCGCTCAAAGCACTGAGCTCTTTTGAGATGAGGTTTGAGCTAGAAAAATGGAGATTGCATGGGCAAAATAAAAACAGAGAACCAAGTGGAGCCACGGAGGATTCTTCGTCTCAAGATTAATACCTTACGTCTGGATGACCCCCTGGATACCTTCTACAAAATTTCATACTACCATAAAAAGAACCAAATGCCGAATGAATTAAGGTGAAAGCCTCATAGCAGTTGAAATAACTCAAGACTGTGACAGGCAAACGGCTTCATCAAAAGGTCCCTCCAAAACATACAACAACCTGCTGCATCAGAGTGGCTAAACATCCTAAACATCTTAGCATCATCGTTGACTCAATAAGCATTAAATATTGGGAGTGGCTGTTGATGTTGGCTAGAAAAGAGGAAACAGAAAAGGTGAATATGGTAAACATAATTGATGAGACACTTTTAGGGATATGTAATCTAATAAAAGCCTAAAGTTAATCTGTAATGATAATACAATAACTTAGTCTTGTCTCGTTTGTTAATGTATCCAATTATCTTGATCTCCATCACAATCAGCTTGTTTATTTTTTAACGTTTTACCTGGGTCATGTAAACTGAGAATTCGCAGAATCCGGGCTGATTGAACCAGGTGACGTCGTCGAACATGCCGAGCCAGGAGGGAAATGTGATGAGTAGAAAACCCGTGTCCGAGATGGCCAGGGCTGAAAGATAGTAGCTGGAAGAAAGCTTCCTGAGCTTCGTTGTGAAGAAGACCAAAACTGACAACGAGTTACCGAGGGAACCAAGGGTGACTAGAGCGGGCGTGTAGTACAGCTGAATGCCGACGAGTATTCTGTAGCTCAACGTCTCGTTCAAATTTATCTCTTCCATCTTGCTGATCTAAATCTTCTAATCCCTGAAACAACAGAATAAAAAATTTTTCTTATTAATCTGCCTGATCGTATGCTTTTTTTTATGGGTCGATAATTTAGTTAAAATATTATTTGAATGTTGAACGAAATAATTCTATACCATTACTTTAACCCTCAAAATTGATTAAGGTCCTATCTCTATCTCACAATGCTGTTTTGATTTCGAAAAAATGCAATACCAGACTTGATTATTTTATTTCGTAAAAAAAAAAAATTTAAAAATCCGAAAAAGACAAGAAAAGCGTCAACTCCTCCTTAGTCCGTGAAATTTCATGGTGTCACACAATTCCCTTAATACTTTTTAAAATCCGAATGCACAACGTTAGCCCCGTTAACGAAAAGGATAAAAGAGGCGGCCTCAAGGCCTTCTGGACCTCGTCCTGAATAGGTCTATTGTGTTCCCCTGTTTTTATAACTCATTGACTAGTTTCAGATTGTTAATCAATCTCTATAGCCTTGTCAGCGGCCTCTTAGTGTACGATGTGTACGCTTGTGGTTTTTCCTGCACCTACATAGATCATCACGGAAACATAAAATGTGTCCTGCGTTCTCCTCCTCTTATTGCCAGTATCTGTACAGGTCTGTACTTCTATCCGGTGCATGTGCTTTCTTAAGCGGCAGTGCCCTGTCAGGACTTCAAGCAGAATCCTGGTTCGGCTGCGGTTGCCTTCCAGTAATTCCTTTGTAAGTTTAGCGGATGGCCCTTTTATGAATCTGTTTGCGTGCCACGTACCTGTGGTATTATTCCACGAGGTTTTGGACTCATTAAGTATCCATTTTGAGATGAATCTTCGTTTTGTGGCAAGATGCTAAGGCACAGTAGGGTTCAGGACCTAGAGAGAGAGGTGGCTCCGTCTTTGACCACCTTTTCGTTGCCCACAACCCCGAATGCCTAGTGACCCATGCCAAGGTCAGGGCATTAGCGTCCCTGGTTTCCAAACGCTGTTTGCCTTCACCTCGCATGTGGCTAGGGCCTTTAATGCTGCCTGACAGAGAAGATGGCTGTCTTTCGTGAATGTATTCCTAGCCTTTTTATATCCCTAAGCGCAGTGTTCAATCGCTTTGATTTCAGACTGGAAAACTGCAGCACATTTACCTAGGTTTACCGTCAGTACGGTCCCAAATACTCCGTTTATTGGGAACAACTTCGCGTTAAGCATGGTAATGCTTGAGTTGTTACCCATTGTTTTGAGGATGTGCGGATGAACACAATGAATTGGTCAGCACGATGTCCTGATATGAATTCCATAGAACACTTATGAGACATAATAAAGAGACGGGTTAGGCATCGTTCGCCGCCTCCAACAAGCGTTGAACAGCGACAAACCGCTCTTGTTGAAGTATGGAAATCTGTTTCACAAGACGAAATTCGATCGCTTATTTACTCGACGCCTAGAAGACTTAAGGCCATCCGCGAGGTCAGCGAAGGGCATATACTTTATTAACAGTAAAACTAGGTTATAAATTGTTAATTAAATTTATTCTATTGCTAAATGATTTTCCGGACTTTTGGGGAATTTTCATTCAAACCTTCATAATTAAATAATTTTTAATTTTTTAAATTAAAACTAATGAATTCTCATTTCGTATAATTTAGTTTACATTATAATAAATACGTTGTTATTAATATAATGATAAAAATACATTTAGTTTGAAATAAACAACAAAATACTAGTGTCTCGTTTGTTTAGTCTTTGAGAATATAAAAACTTTCAAATATGTACATATACAAGACAGGCAGAACACTTCAATTATTAAATTTTAAAAATAAATTTACCATCTCGTAGGGTCTAATGGCAAGACTGCTCGAACACGTCTCTAATATTTTTTCTCAACCTTTTCAAAAAAAGTGTCATTAAAATACGTGAACCGTAGCGTCCCCTTGTGAGTTGAGGATGTTGAAGTCAGTAATTTTAGGGACGCAAGTGTACTATTAGTTTCGAGATGGGGCAATTACGTCATGGAACTTCTCGATCTCAGTATACCTAACACGATCAGCCAGTCTATTACAAATTATAACCACCGTACGTTTCATTTCCCCTGGTTAAAAGTTAACGTACATTAACACAGTTTCTGCAGTTTAGTATATATAGTCTCATAATCCAAATGGATTAGGTTGGCATGCAATTTGTTTTATTTACACCTCTATCAATGTCGCCGTGATAATCTAATTTTTATCGTTCTGGACTAGTTTTTTTGGGTCTGAATGTCAGATTGTGAAGCGTCGGTAAAGTGACAAAAAAACATATTTACTTACGCCATCACCCATGGGAGTAATGTGCTCGTTTCCCAGTTGGCGTTAATTGCGATTAATCCAATCACGACCGTTGACGAGAGCATGAGCGTTAAAATGAAGAAAAAAATTCAACCCCGTGGGTGAGGTTAATTCCAACAGGAACACGATACCGACGTTTAGAATTAATTGGCTCAGTCGGTAGGGATTGTGAGCCTGTTTGCTGATTGGATTTCACCGTAATATCTTTAATGAAGTAACGGTGGGAAGAGAGGTTAATACCGGCCGCATCCAAGATTGGTTGGGTCTTAAAAATGTCGGCTTCGTATATTTACTTCAATATTGGAGATGAACGTAAAACAAACCCTAAGACCAGGGGGGGGGCTTAAAGAAGACACGCTGGTCAAATTGAGCTAGAAATATTAAATATTGGAAATATTATGGTTTAATTATTTTTTAAATATTGCATTAAACTAAAAAATATTTATTTTTATAATAGTTGTAGCTTGAATATTTCTATTCCGATTTATCTTCTCTATAAAGATATTGAATTCACCAATTTGGATTTTTCTTTATGACAGTCGTACAATAAACAATAATCGAAGTTGCTAGCCTGACAAAAACGGAATCATTATGAAATCGAAGAGCTTAACCACTTGGATTATTATATGCCTAATTAACGGAATAATGGTTGAATTTGGATTGAATTTGTTAACCAACACAGAAGTAACAGCGACCTACGCCGAGAATATATCGATTATTACAGATAATTTTTTGCGTTTGATTAAAATAGTCATTGCCTATTTATTCAAAATGTTGGTCAGTTGAATGTTGATCAGCAGATAAAGAAAAACCATTAAAGTCGGGAACACACCCGATGCAACGCTATGCGACGCTACCTATCATCAATTGTGTTGAACTCATCAACGCACCTTCCTTTAAAAGGACGGACTGCTGCTTTGGCATCTTTCTCAAGGTCGAACGTGCTTTCGAGTCTGGTAACTGAGTTTGCTCTCGAAAGTCAAGGTATCATAGTGACACACTTCCTCATCCGTAAGTCCTATCTTGGTATTTAGTGTATTAAAGTGTGGGTCGGATTGAGGGCGAACGTCCCTCCGGGTGGTGTCCTCGGTTCGTTTCTGGTGACCGACATCACCCTCCTAACTTAGTGCTATTTTATCTTCCATTCCAACTTCATTCCTTTCTATCCTCCGTTCCGAAGGTCACCGAACCTTCCAGACACAAGTAAATTACCAAGAACAAATTGAGGTTGATCAATAATGTAAAACCGCAAGACATAACCTTCACAACACTACCTCCAATTTTTTATAACCATATCTCTCTTCCTGTTTTAAAATCATCCGCTACCTTAGGCTGTACCCACACAAGCGACCGACCTGGAACACCTTATACCAGTCCAAACTAAAGATATTTCATACGTGTGGCATAGAAATATGGGGTTCAACTAAACCATCCTCCCTCTGAAGAATCAAGACCTTACAATCTCCTTAGATCCATTCCCTCCAAGTGCTATGACCTAAATGATCCCTTCATAAAAGATGTTGCAAAATCCAGCTAGAATTCCACACATTGTCTCACCCCTACTCTAAACCCACAATTATTTCCTCCTCTACGTCTAAAAATACAGAAGAGGAAGAGAGAGAGAGAGAGAGAGAGAGAGAGAGAGAGAGAGAGAGAGAGAGAGAGAGAGAAAAGTGAGATTATAATTAATCAATTATAACCTTCTTTACGAAATTTAAAAGCCAAAACTACGTCATATTTTTTGGCGTTCAACAGTTAGTAGGTAATTTAGAGAAGGATTACGTTTAGGGCTTTTCTTTAGAGTTTTTTACTGACTTAATCTCTGGCATTCCAGGGGTACGGTGGGCGCTGGATCATGAATTAACAAAAGAGCAGTTTTTGCAGGAACAAACGGGAACGGGGAAAACAGTTAAATATTGAACCGAATCTTTCCCCGTTAACCTCTTCATGGTTTATACCGTTTTGCTGTCACTTAAGACGTTTCTTTCGCCCTTTTATTAAAACGATGGAAAATAATTATAATTTGACGGTTTCAGATCAATTTCAAGTAAATAAATCCTTGAGAAAGTGAAGTAATAAATTTGAAAAAATGTTGGAGTTTTTAAGAGGAGTTGGTAGTTAACGATTTTTTATAATTTCTTTTTATTATCGGAGAGTGAAAAGACGCTCAACAAGGCGACAGAAAATTGTAGGAAATGCGAAATATTTTGATCGCAAGAGATTTGTATTTTTTATTTTTATTTGTATTTAGATTATGATCATCCTGATAAAAGTGGCGTAAAGTATGGTTTAACGTCAACTAACAGTCCGGAATCGTTGATAAAGTGTAAGAACCACTTTATCATTTTTCCCCCAATTTATCTTAAAAAAATTGTAAAGGCTATGCCAGGATAGAAACTTTCTCCTGCTGCTTAGAATGTATAAAGAATATAGTGTCTAGTCATCATTATCATTCTAATCCTAGCACATCCTACGTTAGCTTCTACGATTATCCTGTGATGAATTTTTTCGCTTGCTTCAGTTCTAGAATACAATCCCATTGCACAAAGGACCTCTGATGGATCTACGTTTTTAGTTAATTGTTGCAAAAAGGTTCTTGTCCGGTCGGTGCCAAGACTGAACTTTCCACTGGCAATTCTGAATGTCTGACATGGCTTTGATGCAATCCCGAACAGCTCTGGAAGTAGTTGTTTTTAGGTCCCCCTGACTGAGC